CGCTTGGGTGCACTGGGGTGTAGTGGCAGGCAGGGAAAAGCAATGAGCAATGGGGTCCTTGGAGAAGGTGCTTTCAGGGAGAAACGGTGTACGTGAATTTGCATGGTGGTACACAGAAAGCAGTGGGGATCCTGGGGAAGGGGCCCACCTGGGTGCATGGCCGTGTATTGGGGCATCCTGGGGTGCTTTGGGTTGTAATGGGATGGATGGGAGTGCAAGGGGGACCCAGGGGAATGGGGCCTCCCTGAAAAAACACGGGCTGCTCTCGAGGGTTGTAGTGGGGTGCACTGGGGTGCATAGGGGCACACTGGGATGTCCTGGAGTGCTGTGGCCGTGAGAGGGGAGCATCTGGGGACAGCAGAATTCATGATACCTACCTCAGGCTTCTTCCCATCTCCTATTTTGAGTTCCCCCTGTAGAGAGACCACAAAACCTCACTGGTCACTGGTATGTCCCCACTACCAGCCTGGGACCAGCAAGGGATGGGAGGTGCAAACTACCATCTGGTTCCCCAGACTGGTTGCCCTCTGAGTCCACCCCAGTACTTACATTCAGGGTATCATCTCCACTTACTTCTAAGACAGCCTGGGAAAGAGAGCAAAGAGCTTGTCTGGATTGGACCTTGGTGGGGCTTTGTGTGGGGCACAGGTGTCCCCAGCCTCCCCAGGCCCATGGCTTCCCTCTGGTCTGAGCAGGAAGATCCCTTCTGCTCCCCACACCCCATTGCTCCAAGTTTCACCTGGGATACCTGTTCATGCGGTGACCCGGGGGGGGCGGACACGACAGAGGTAAGGATAGCCTGGGCAATTAGGGGTCTCCAAAGGGGACGGGGTGACTGGGACCCAAACACAGGGCACTGGCGTGAATTAACCAGGCTGATGGTGTTGAAGGGACAGGACTGTTAATGTGGGGTAGAGGAATTCAAGAGCAGAGGATAGAGGGACTTCAAGCGTGGTGGTTGGTAGAGGCAGAAGGATGATGGCAGAGGACCAAAGTGAGGGAACAGGGAGAGTGTTTGGGAGCTGGGGTTCAAGGAAGTGGTTTTGGGGACATTACCACAGTGGACAGGATGAAAGGCAAAGGACTGAGGGGGGCAACGTCCCAAAGCCATTGGGAACGATCAAAGGGAGGGTATGTGGGGACCCTAGGTAGGACTCAGAGGAGATCCCAGGGAGGAGGTGTCTGAGGGGACCAAAAGGATGAAGGGGCCCAAAAGGCAGGGGTGTGGGGGCACCGAGGCAAGAAATCGGTTGGGCCCTCCTAGAGAGGCGATAGGTCTGACCATTCAGTGAAGAAGCTGTGCTCTGGATATCAGGAGCTATACTGCGGGGAAACTTGGGAACAAACAGAAGTGTGGAAGGCAGAAAGCTGCATCGCCTGGGGCTTCTCCCTTTCCCCTTGCTTGGGAAAGGGAGAAGCCAACTCAAGGGGTTTCATGCTCACCACTATGATTTCATCCTGCAGGGGAGCTGATGTCTTGCAGCCAAGACCTGTTCCCAGCCTTGAGCCCCTCCACGGGGCACTGGGGACTCACCTGAGCATCTCCTGGGGTGCACAGCAGGATGGTGAAGAGCAGGGCCACGCTGAGCACTGCGACCTTCACATTCCTCTGTGCTGTGGGCAGTCCTGGATGAGGCTGGAGAAGGTGAGGGGCAGATTTATCCCTCCCAGGACTCCTCCTTGCCCTCCCCGAGAGCACTCAGGGCAAAGGCAGACTTGGCAGAGACACCAGCCCCGGCAGCAAGCCCGGCCTAGGCACAGTCACCCCTGCCTCAGGCATGGCTTCAGCCACCTTTGCCGGCATCAGTCCAGCTTCCTCCACGGGGTAGCTGGACATGCAGGTGCCCTGGCATCTGCGGGTGGTGAAGGGGAACAAAGGACCCCTGACAGACAGAGGTCCTATGGTGTCTGCCCACTGCTCCAACACAAAAGCAATCTCCACCAGCCCCCCAAAGCCAGATCGCCCTATCTCCCAGTGCCCCTCACCTCCCAGCACTACCATCTCCCAGCACCGCCTGCCTCTCAGGACTCCCTTTCCCCCCAGGACTCCCCCAGGGATGATGCTAGCCTCACACCAGGGGTCTCTAAGCAGAACTGTCCCTGCCCCCTCTGCACCCCTTGGCTAAACAATGGGCTGAGAATGACCCTTCTTCCTGGGGCATGAAGGATCCCGGGATTAGGGAACACTGGGAGGTGGGAGGACAGCTGCAGTGCACTGGCAGGTGGGGATACTGCCGGGTGACTGGGATCTTCAGGCACGGGAGGCGATGGGGAGCACTGGTGAATGCTGGGCACTGGGAGATGAGGGTTCGGCTTGAACGAGTGATGGGGTGGTCACAATGCCCAGCTCCAGCCTACCCCATTTCCCAAGTAATGCTGGCCCCAGTCAGGTCCAGTCCACAGCCGTGGCCTCCCCAGTGCAGAGAACAGAGCAGAATATCCCCTGCCCTGGCCACCAGCCTGCCACTACGTGGAGCCACCATACCCACCCAGATAACTGGAGTCCCACTCTGCAGAGCTGCCTCCAGATAGTGGGTCCCAAGGACTCTATCCCCAACAAGGCTCCGGTGCCAGCCACGTCCCTGGATGGCACTCGGCCTCTGCTCACCCAAGGCCCTTGTCCCCAAGGGGTGTCCCTTCAATGCCCTCATCCTTGGCCAGGCCAGCTCTGAATTGAATTCTGTAGGAAAATGAGGTCTCTTCTGGCTGAGTGGGTTTGAGCGTGCTGCCTGCTGCAGGAACAAGAGGAATAAACACTGCTGTTCCACCAGTGCTCTAATGCTGTACCTTGCCTGTGTACAAAAAGGGAGACGGTGTTTCTGTTCTGTGCACTGCGGAAAAGGGAGGAAGTGACCTTAAATGTGTCCTTAGAGAGCACGAGTGATCGATGGTCAGCAGGAGGGGCTGCAGAGCAGAGCCACTGCCAGGAGAGTAGGTACAAAGCTGGCTGCTCGTGCATGGGGCATCAGGTTAGGACGGTAGCTGGGACACGGCCTAATAGAGGCAGCAGATCATGGATCAGCATGGGGAAGCTGACAGACGCTTCTGCACAAGAGCCCTGTGCATTTCCCATCTCCCTTCTGGTGGGCCTTGGCTGAAAGCATGGCTTGCTCTCCCAGCAAGCACTGTGAGCAATCGGCATCTTTTTTTTCCTGCCACAGGAGCCTTTTCACAGAGGTGGAACAGGGGGAACGCTTTTCTGAGTCCAGTCCCAGCTCACTCGCTCGAGGGCCACCAAAGCTTCATGACAAGGCCAGAACAGTTGCAAGTAAGCTCAGCACTGGTTCTTGCTGCCAAGTCCTTGGGGTGAACTCAGAGCTGCACTGTGCCAGAAGTCTGGCAAAATGTCACAAGTGGCTGGAGAAATGCAGGCTGCCCTGCTCTTCACCCCAGAGAGGTGGTGCCTAGGACTTGGTGCTTGCTTCCCTGCAGGGAGCCAAAACACTCTTGGCTGAGCATCCTGCAGAAGAGACCTCAAGACACAGGCCTAACTTTTGCCTGCTTTCTTTGCTCAGGGACGGTCTTCAGCCTCGTTTGCCATCTGGCAGGTACCCTTGCATCCCTGTGGAGATACCTGCTGATGGTGTGCATCTTCGCTGTGTATGTACTACCTGTTTCTGCTGTTGGGCTTTTGGGGAGGCAGAAGCCTCATGCTGCAGAGGTCAGGGTGCAGGGAGGGAGGGGCTGAGAACTGGGCTGTGCTGCCGGCTGTGCTTCGAGCAGTGGGGACTGCTGCTGCCGCCGCCGCCAACTTCTTCCTCTTCCTCCACTGCAGGCTGCATCTTTGCTGGTAAAGCAAAGATGGGGAAAGGAATATGTATGTACTACGTGTTTCTGTGTTGGACACGGGGAGAAAGGAGATGTCTGAGGGCCAGTGCAAGCAAAGAGGAGAGCAAGGGGTGTTCCTCAGCCAGCTTCCCACTCTCACGAGCACTGCTCGTGTTGTGGCCGTTCTCAGGGAGGGCCAAGATTAAAGCCCCTGGGCAGTACCCAGCCCGACCAGAGCCGTGATCTAGCCCTTCCGGGTAACTGCCCCATTTACATACTGGGCATGACGTGCTGTGGTATGGAATACCTCTTTGGCTAGTTTGGGTCCGGTGTCCTGTCTCTGCTTCCTCCTGCCTTCCCCTCCTCCCCTGGCAGAGCATGAGACTCACAAAGTTGTTGGTCCATCAAGAGTAAAACATACTTGACACGACTAAAAACATCGGTATTATCAGCGCTGTTCCTAGGCTGAAAGTCAAAACCACAGCGCCGCACCAGCTACTAGGAAGGAGAAAAATTACTGCTATAGGCGAACCCAGGACAACCTTGTGCTACCTGCACCCATTCTAACAGCCACAGCTCCTGTACTTCCCTCTGGCCATTGCCTGTCTTTCAGCCTGGGGAGGAAGGCAAACATTCACAAAGTAGAAAGCCTCTGTGTGTCTGCTCCTTGCAGAGGGAATGCGCTGCTCTCTGACAACATCTGCTTTCCTTTTCCTGCAGGATTTTGCACATCTTTTGGATAGAACAAACCCAAAAGCTGCAGGTTCTCCTGGACAAGGTGGCTCAGCTGGAGGTGGAGATAAGCAGATTGAAGAAGGTAACTCTGCATTTTGGAGAAGAAGGCTTGGCTGGGCAGAAGCCCGGAGGAAGCACTACCTGGGATTAGTGGTGGGCTCAGCCTGCTGATTGCAGCAAGCCAGCCTTTGCCAGGGGACTGCTGGGTGAGCTTTGGCACTGCCCAGGCCCTTCTCTGGGCCCAGGTTAACTGGTGCTTCAGGCAGTGGGGGTCTTCCAGCATCCTTCCCTTGGCACGGGCACCTCTGGCTGCTCTGGCTGGGCCCTGAGCAGCAGTGAGACCCAGGCCCACTCCCATGGCCAGCCACCGTGGACATGGCCTGAGCATGGAAGGTGGGAACAAGGGAGTGAGGACCCCATGGTCGTGGCCACAGATACTGTGCTCGTGGCTCACGTCAGCCGCAGTCTCTCAGCTTACTGGACAAGGCTTGCCCTTTGCCTTTCTGGGTGCTGGTAGCCATGCTGAACTGACTGCTGACGTGCTCATTTTCTGTGCTTGTTTGTGTCTTTCCCAGGAGATGAACCAGGCAGTGCTGGAGCTGGCTTCGGAAATCTACATTGGAAGATCTGACTGGACCCTGAAAAGTTCTGGTATGGACACAGCAGCCCATTCTCCTTGCCATGCACTTGTCAGTAGCACTCCCCAAAGGAGGATGTCCTCCAGGTGCTGCTCTCTGAATCAGGGGAGCTGAAAGCCGGGGAGCTTCATGAGGTCAGAGAGCAAGTCTGTGGCAGTGGCTCTGTTGGATTCCCTTCTGGTCCCGCCTCTGCGCAGGTGCCTCTGGCACTGCCCCACACACATTCCAGGGCTGATGGAGGGGCTCCCTCATCAATGCATTTGGAAAGGAAATGGCTGGGTCATCCTTTATTGCCCACACAGCAAGCCCTCAGCTTTGGTCTGCTGTCAGTCACCAGCACCCTCAGACCTTCTACTTGTGGCGCTGTGAGGAGCAGACACCAGGCATATGGGTGCTGTCGTCCTGCACAGCTAGGCACCCCTACCAGCATGGAGATGGAGAGGACTGACAGACGTGGAGCTGTCCAGCAGCATCAGAAAGAGGGTCTGAGCACAGGGTCCTCTGAGCTTGTGGCCTCTTGCAGTCACCTGCTCTCCCTTCCTTACAGGTGCCACCACTGACATGCGGAGAACTTTGAAGACCTATGACTCGAAAGACAATTGGGTCGGCAGGGTTATAGGGTTCTTGTGCACTCCCAACCCTCCTGATACGATTTTCCAGGTATTGTAGCAGAAATCACCAGTGCATGTTTCCTTCCTGCGAAGCTGGGGACTGACCTGAGGGGTTGTCCTCTCAGTCCAGTGGTAATGCTCAAGCCCACAGTGCTGATCTGTTGCCTGAAACCAAAGCTTGAACTCAGGGCTGGGCTTGATAGAAAGCAGTAGTTCCCCTCAGGAGGGGAACAGAGCTCAACTGCTGCATCTTGCCCACAGTCCTGAGTCACAGCTGGGTGAACGACTTTCTCCCTGGTGACCTCATTTGCATACTCAGCCCTAACAATTCCTTTGCGGGGTGGGAGGCAGGGGGTCCTCTGCAGAGCCACTGGGCAGAGAGGTGTATCTGTAAGGCCTTGACTAGGTTGGCTTAGTAACAGGTATTCTCCTCCTTCCATAATACTGAGAGGCTGCCGCTTTTGTCCATTTCCTCACACGTGCCTCATTTTCAAGCTGGAATAGACCCCACAGACACACCAGCACCCGTGCTTCAAGCTACATGAGTAGCTGAGTTGAACTGAACATGGGCTCACGTTTCATTGCTCTCCCATTCTGATTGCAGCTGGATGTTTCCCCAGGAAACTGCTGGCCTTTACAAGGGGACCGGGGCCAGGTGGTCATCCTGTTGCCAGCACGAGTCCATCTGACTGCTGTCAGCATGCAGCACATCTACAAAGAGGTCGCTTCACCTGGCACCGTCACCAGTGCCCCCCAAGACATCGCTGTCTTTGTAAGTCTCTGCTGGGTGCTTCTGGCTGGCATGTGGCCCTGGGGGAAAGCTGTGACTGGAACTTGCTTGCTTTGTGCATCCTTGGACGTTTGTGCCCTGCTTTCTCCTAAGCCCTGCAGCGCGCTTGCAGGATACTTCAGGGGCTCTAGAGGTTCCATCCCTCTCAAGACTCATTCTGGTGAGAGCACCTCAGGGCTCTTGAGTAAAACACAAGGTGGACACAGTGCTTACCTACTGCTAGAGCCCCAGGATGCAGTGTGCATATCAGCATGCAGTACATGCTGATCCAGCACACACAAACATCCTCTTTGTTGGGACAAGTCTGAGCTTCTCTCCTTCCTCCTTGTGCTTTTCCCTTGAGGGAGTGAATGCAGACACAGAAGAGGAAACTCTCCTTGGGACGTTCGTGTACAACGTGGCAAAAGAGGCCATTCAAACCTTCCCTCTGAAGGTACGGTCCGTGCACGAGGGCAAGATGCCCAGGAGAAAACCAGGAGTGCCTGCAAGTCCGTGGCAGGAAGAGCATGAATGCTCTCTCCCCTGGCACAGGGGCCCAGACCACTGCCGAGGAGGCCTGGTGGAGTTGGGAGGACTGAGTAGCATGCGGTGGGGGTAGCAGCAAGAGATTTGCAAGGGCAGGGTTGTTCCTGTGGGAGCTTAAGTCCTGAGAGACCCCTGGCTGCAGCTGTTGCCTTCAGCAGAGCCAGCTGCACACATGGCCTCTCCACCAAAGCAACATCTTTGTGCCAGGAGAAATAGGGATGCCTAGTGGGGAAAGCTGCTGGGCAGCATTGTCACTCCACCCTGTGGCCTGCTGACAGGCTGGACAGTGTCCTTTCCTCCCAGCACAACACGTCCCTTTTCTCCTGGTGCCCTCACACCTGCCAGAAGGAAGGCAGGCAGAGAACATAGCGGGAGCTTAATGGGCTTTCACACCAACTCTCTCACGCATAGGAGGACCTCCCCAGCCTCTCTGTCAGCACAGAGCAAGCTGCAGAGGGAAAGGGGCAAAGGGAAGGGAGTCGCAGTCCCCGCCAGGCCAGGCTGCAGAGGCTGTCTTCTTCCTTCCCATGCCTCCAGTCTCTGCAGGAGCCCCAGTACCAGCAGTGAGCCTCAGATGTCTACGCACTTTTGGAAGCTTGTTCCAGCAGGAACAGGGTGGGCAGGGGGAGAAACGTCAATTGCACTGTCACACTTAACGCCTCAGTTTTCTTGTCACTCTCTTCACAGAAAACACACAGAGCCTTTTCACACATCAAACTTACTGTGGAGAGCAACGGGGGAAACACAGCCTACACCTGCATTTATCTAGTGCAGGTTCATGGAAAGATGGCAAAACCAGAAAACCTCAACTGAAACCAGAGCAGAAAAGGAACACAAATAAAAAAGAGGGATGAATGGTTTGTCAGATCAGAGTGGTGTAGAAGATCTGTCTCCAAAGTAGGGCAGGTCCATTGGGGGTTGGGTAGGAGACCCCAATGACATGGCTACAGGGCAGCCTGCAGGCAGCAGATGTGGGTCACCAACAATTCTTGGGACAGCTCCTTGGGGCTGCCAGGGGCTTGTGAGCTCCCCCTTTTAATTTCCCAGTAGCGGGGCCAGAGAAGCATCAGATTCCCCACTGCACCATCAAAGGGGTGTGTGTGATGGCTGCCTTCTCCTGGGGGTGGTTTCAGGGCTGTGCAGCCAGCTGTGCAGCCAGGGGTACCCAGGGTTGTCCTTCCAAGCACAGTCCCTGCACCCCAGGACCCCAGTGTGCTGGAGCAGGCTGGGTGAAGTCATCTCCCTGCTGAAAGAGCCAGCACAGGGCAGCTGAGACCAAAGCTGATGGACAGGTGAGATCTTTCGAAAAGCTCTTTGATATCTCATGTGAATTTCATCTGACACAGCACCCCCGTACGCGCTCCCGCCATGTTCCTCTTTCCTTACTGCTGGAGGGCAGGACTGGCTCTGCCAGAGCCCCCACCAGAGCCCCCCCTTTCAGTGACACCCTCAGCCTGCACCAAGCAGAGCTCATGGAAGGGACCTGCCAAAAGTCTTCCTGAAACCAGAGAAGAGGCAGTTTCAGGGTGTTCTGTGAAGCAAATGTCCAGTGGCAGCTCCGTCACCCACTTCCTCCTCCTGCCATTTGCGGACACGTGGGAGCTGCAGCTCTTGCATGACTGCCTCTTCCTGGGCATCTACCTGACTGTGCTCCTGGGCAATGAACTCATCATCACCACCACAGCCTGCAACCAGTGCTTCCACACCCCCTGTACTTCCTCCTCGACCGACCCCTGCTGGACCTGTGCTCCATGTCCGCCACTGTCACTAAAGCCATTGCCAATTCCCTCTGGAACACCAGGGCCACCTTCTTCCTGGGATGTGCTGCCCAGGTCTTTTTCTTTCCCTCCTCAAACACAGACGAGTTTTATTTCCTCACCATCACGCCCTACAGCCCCTATGTGTCCATCTGCCAACCCCTGCGTGACGGGACCCTCCCGGGCAGCACAGCTTGTGTCCACAATGGCAGCAGCTGCCTGGGCCAGAGGGTTTCCCAGTTCTCGGCTGCACACTGTGGGACTTTGTCACTTCCCTCTGCTAAGGCAATACCCAAAGGGCCAAAGCTGGGGAAGCAGAGTGGGTTCCTGTCCCCTCTCTGCCTGTTGTGGGACAGTTCTGCCACTGTCCAGGAGCTCTGGGAGAGCTTGGGAGCCCTTCCCTGAGGCCTTGTATGACAAGACCACTTACAGCTCAGCATGGAGGAAGCAGGCAAGGTTCAGTTGCCCATGTTCAGTGGGTCCCCTCCATGGGGCACATCTGCCAGGCTGTGCTTACTCCCCCCTTACTCCTCCACCCATGGCTGACCCCCTGTGCTGTGGTCTGCAGGGAGAGCAGCAAGGTCCTGCACCCAAGAGAAGAGCTTCATCTCACCAGTTCTTGCTGTCCAGGCCAGGGACAGCCCCTCTCTGTGTGCTCCTGCATGCTGCGTGACACCTGAGGGTTGAGGGAAGGTCCTGTCCCAGGGCAGCTCTGGGAGACCCTTTGAGACAGGGCTTGTCCCAGGGGAACAGGGTGAGTCCTGAGCCCTCCTCCCACTCAGCCTTTTCTCTGTGGGTCCCCCCAGCAGCGAGCACAAGCTTGGTCACCAGAGCACTTCCTGTAACATCTCCAGGTTCCTATTCAAAGAGGTCCCTGACTTCTAAGATTCTACGATTCTTTCAGACTGCAATTCGTGATTCTCTCTCCTTAACTGTTGGTGTTCTGGCGGACTTGTCTGTGGTATTTAACCCATGGCAAGGGTCATGCAGAGCATTTGCATTTCTGGCTACACCCTTCAGAGAAGCCCTGTGTGCACTGCAAAGGGGAGTGTTGAGATGGGCTGTGTCCTTGGGGAAAGCCCTGTTCCTGTGGGACACATAGCCCTGGGAGACAGCCTGTAGGGAAGGGCTGTGCGGCATTCACAGGGTAGTGTTTAGCTCCAGTCAAGTGACATGAGGCTCTCAGAGCTCTGTGCCTTGCTCACGCTGCTCCTCTCCCTTCATCCTCACCTTGCCGGGTTCTGGCTGAGGCACAGACATGGAAATCCTCAGCCATGCACACCCCCTCGCACTGCAGCTGAAGGCAAGAGACCAGCTCTTGGGGAGTGTTTTTTATTAGACTCATATTGGAAGTAGTAGAGGTGCCATGCAGAGGGAATGTCGGAGGCCAGAAGAGGGAGCAGGTGTTCCAACACTGAACACAAGAGGTTGTACAAAATGTCAGTGTTCAAATGTCTCCTTCATCATCTAGAAAAGAAGAGGCTACTTTATAGTAAAACGTGGCTCACTGTTGCTCTGTGGGAAGGCATATTGACCCTTGCAGGAATACGAATGACTTGCCAGGGTATAAAAAAAAAAATAAATCCAGCTATTTCTAGAACCGCTCACTATAATTTTATTTATGACAGAAATTCCCAAATTACTTCCAGGGTAACTGCAAGACATACCTCCTCTCTGGATTTCAAAGAGACGTCCAGTAAGGACAAGGCCTGCTGCATGCAGTATGTTTTGGAATAGGGTTTTGGTTTTCCTCTGCTTTTTGTTATGGAAGTGTGCTGCTCTTGAGCAACAGCCCTGCTGAATTCCTCACCCTAGGGGCTGGTGGTGAAAACACAAACCTAACTGGAGATGTTTGTTCTTGTCATCCCTCCTCTCTGTATGTGTGGCTGATAAGCTGTATTTGCTTAGGGCCAGGAAGTGCTGGGGTGGTCACAGTGCCCAGCTCCAGCTCACCCCATTTCCCATGCACTGCAGGCCCTAGTCTGGTCCAGTCCCCACGTTGCCCCAGGGGAGCCCAGAGGGAGCCCTGCTCAGCCCCATTGTGACATCAGAGCCGCCACTCTTGCCTCAGAGTCATGGGCACCCATAGAGCGTTGTGGGGCAGGGAAAGAGCCCACAGCTGCACGTGACTGTTGCCCCAGGCAGGGACACTCCTGTGGAAGGGCAGCGTGGAGCTGCTGCTGGAGCTGGTTTTGCCTGAGGAGCCCAGACTGCTGAGGCTCAGGCAGTGTCTGACTCAGAGTCTGAAGCCGACTGACCGGTTACCTCAGGTTTCCCGCGCCTTTTCGGCGGGCTCCGGGCCCGCCCGCTTTTCTTGTGGGCGGGCCGTTCCCTGCCTCTGGGCTCTCCCCGCCCTCCTGGTTCGCCCCGCCCCCTGCTCGGCGGGGTGTTTGCCCTACAACGGCATTTCTCCAGACGGCCGCTCTGATTGGCTGTCCGCCCCTCGCTCGCGCGCCCCTCCCCCTTTCGGTTCTCCTTCTCATTCTCTCCCCCCCCCCCCCTTTACGCGCTCTTGTCAGTTCTAGCACTTCCCCCCTGTTCCCCCCGGGAGCATCTTCGCCCCGCCCTCCTTCTTTCCGCTCGGCGCCATTTTGGGGCGCATGGGGCGGCGGGCTAACCCCAATTGCCTCGGACTCCTTCTCCGCGGCGCCCCTGGCCTCCTCGACCAACCCACCCCAAAAGGATTTTGCTCGTTCCTGTCCCTCCGTAGGCGGGTCGGGATTCAGGGACTGGGGAGGCGTGTCGCCTTTCTGCGTATCTTTAGGCTCAGTAGCGCCATCACCGTCTGGGGGGTGCAGAGTTTGTGTAGCTGCCCCGACTCCCATTTTCGGGGTAGCCCACAAACAGTTCTTTGCTGCCTTCCAGGTCTCCTGCTCTTGTATGGCCTTCCGCAGGGCCTGTATGACTTTCCCCCACGACTTGAGGTATTTCCCACAACCCGAGGACATCGGCTCCTCGGCTAACGCTTTAGTGCATTTATCCCACTCCTCAGGGTGGAGAATATCCACTGGCTGGTCAATGAACCCAGTTTGTAAAAGCCTCGCAACTGCGAGAGTAAAATCAATGCCCCACTGCTTATGTAACTGAGATACGAGCTTCACAAGGGCTTCCATCCTCCTTGTTGGTCCAGGAGCGTCCTCCCCGCCGGGCTGGTCCAGCCGCTCTGGCCGCCGTTCACCTGTCCAGACGATTCCCGGGTTTCGGCACCACTTGTTGCCTTCGTTGGCATGGCGACCAATCCCAGGCCGCTCGGGCCATCAGCTCACGGACACCAATGTGGTGGATGGCAAATGGCGTTTATTGGGGAGTAACACGGTGTTATATAGCCTGGGTTTACAATGTCATGTCCGTCTGCTTAGGACCTAGGCTAGGCCCTATAGGCTACTCGGAGGGGGGGACTTATCTTTCCGTACAGCGCGACATCTTCCGATCGCCAGACCCTAACCACCTACAGCTTAGGAGGAAGAGCTGAGCAGGGAGGCTGCCTTTGCGCAGAGATGGCAAGGAGAAGGGCACTGCGGAAAAGGGAGGAAGTGACCTTAAATGTGTCCTTAGAGAGCACGAGTGATCGACGGTCAGCAGGAGGGGCTGCAGAGCAGAGCCACTGCCAGGAGAGTAGGTACAAAGCTGGCTGCTCGTGCATGGGGCATCAGGTTAGGACGGTAGCTGGGACACGGCCTAATAGAGGCAGCAGATCATGGATCAGCATGGGGAAGCTGACAGACGCTTCTGCACAAGAGCCCTGTGCATTTCCCATCTCCCTTCTGGTGGGCCTTGGCTGAAAGCATGGCTTGCTCTCCCAGCAAGCACTGTGAGCAATCGGCATCTTTTTTTTTTCCTGCCACAGGAGCCTTTTCACAGAGGTGGAACAGGGGGAACGCTTTTCTGAGTCCAGTCCCAGCTCACTCGCTCGAGGGCCACCAAAGCTTCATGACAAGGCCAGAGCAGTTGCAAGTAAGCTCAGCACTGGTTCTTGCTGCCAAGTCCTTGGGGTGAACTCAGAGCTGCACTGTGCCAGAAGTCTGGCAAAATGTCACAAGTGGCTGGAGAAATGCAGGCTGCCCTGCTCTTCACCCCAGAGAGGTGGTGC